TATCAATAAAAATTTCAAATTTTCATTTTAAGTATACATAAGAATTGATCTTATAATTAAATACATTATAGGTTATAAATTTTAACCTAGACATAGGAGAAAATTTCGGGAGGCAGTTACAAACCCTTGAACCCCCCCCCCTGTGTGCGCCGCTGATTATACATACCATAGATTATAAATATAACACATAAGTTTTATTTTTAAGAATTATATAAAACATTTAAATGCTTATTCATTATATATTTTTAAACATAGTTTGAATATCCGCACAAATCGTTCTTCAAAACTCTAAACAAATGTATTGACTTACATTGAAGTATTAGTTCCATAACCAGGTTCATTCTCCAATGCAGAAACATTTCTGTCCGTCTATATAATAAATATTTAATAAATTAAAAATAGCTGTCACATACACATCATAATTAATATATAGCTATTTTGATTTACCATGTCAGTTGTACGATTTTCTCGCCATTTTTTAAGTGCATTAAAATTTCTTCGATGTTTTTTTATCAGATATTTTCTGCGACGTTTTTTTGGCAAAACGTTCTGCATAATGTAAATATCACAGAATTTATATTTTATTTTTATATATAAGTTGTATTATAAATCAAATACGAATGAGCTACTATAGCTGATTTCTAACATTTTCATTTACAAAATTACCTATGTCTTATCATTGAGAGTTTATTTATAGCCTTTTGTATTGTAATATTTAGCCCAATTTCATTTGGGTATAATATAATATAAAATAAACAGATTGATAACGATGCGGGCAATATAATTAGCGTCAACGATTAGCAGAAGAGGGTTACTTCCACACGCGCATGCACAAGTCAATACACACTGTTGCGAGGAAAATGATCGAGTTCTATCTTTTTCGAAAAGAATCAATTTTTTGCCAATCATACTGGTTTCCTTGGTCATCGGATAAAACATCTAAAAGCATATTTGAATTTGTCATGAAGTTTACTTGAAATCGACTTTTTTACATTTTCAAATTATTTTATCAATTTCATATTATTTACATTATAAATTTATTATTATTTTAGATTTTAAAATCAATTTTTTAAGGGTATAAAAATAATAATTCAAAAAAGTATAAAAGTCGTTTTCAAGTCAACTTCATGACGAATTCAAATATGTTTGTATGAGTCTTATCCGATCATTGGGCAGTTCAGTACAATTGACAGAATATAGGTATATTTTGATAGAAAACGTAATCCGGATAGAATCCCCTTTCTTAAATCTATTCGGAATCCGATTTTTTTAGGATTGTTCTGTATTCAATCGAAACTTTCTGATGTCCCGACAAAAGATCCAAAACGACACTTTTATCCCGCGTTTTGGAAAATCTGTTCTGTATTAACTTAGTTTAAAACGATTTCAAAAATTAAGTTTTTTTCATAAATATAATTTTTTAATTATTAAGAAAAATTATCACATAATTTCTATTAATTATTAGTGTTTTAAGTATTGAATATTGTGTTTATTTAATTTCACTGTATATTTACTAAGCACAAGAAAAATTATTAAAATCTTATTCCGGGAAAAGGGTGAAATTTCAAATTCTGAAAACTTAGTTCCAAATAGTTCCAAATTAGTTCCAAAATATTGGTGAGGGTTTAAAGTCGATATGATAAAGAGGGGGGGGGTCGTAATTTGACGGTTGTCGTATACAGTTCGATTTCGTTTCATGATCACGCACAATGTACCCAAGTAAAATATTTTCATTCGTCACTAGGAAAAAATTTGATTTTCATGTCTGTAATAACATATTTATGTAATGATTCATAATTTATATATTAATAAACTTATATATATATATATATATATATATGGCTATTAAAAATTACAACTTTGGCTAATTATGTGAACCAAAATTGTAAAACCCTATAAGTTCTTTGACGTATTTGGAGACGAAATTACGTCATTCGTTAGACCTGAAATATGTATACATTTGTGAAATAAACTTTTTTATACCAACAACGTATTAATGTATATCTATGTGGAGACTAAAATAAATAATTCTAAATGTATACGAATAGTTTTTTCTGTTAAATAAAACATGAGTAATTGACGAAAGGCTTTCGAATTTGGGTAAAACTTGTGTAAAAAAATGTAATTACACCGAATAACTGAGTACATAGCAGTAGTACTGCGATGGACTGTAATTTATGTGATTTTAATTTGTCAATTTTTAATGACACCGAGACCATTGCTTGATTTTAACTTTTTCACTTAAAAATATTAAATAATGAAGGCCGTCGAGAAAACGATTTTAAATGGCAACCCTAAATATATTTTAAGAAATGCAACAAAAAGTTTTCATAGTTTATATTTACCTCTGACATTTCGACCGTGTAGGAGCATAAGTTTGCAAAAATATGCACATATGCATGGGAATATAATTCCGATGATAAATTAAATATTAAAACATTGAAACAACGGAGCATGGGTTAACAATAATATGTACCACATATGCGATTTGAACGGTTTGATAAAAACGATAAATCGATGTTTTTTCCCTTTGTATCTCTTCGAATCGATGAAATGCATTTTGTATGTATTATGATATAGTTTTCTTTAAATTTATTTTATAATTATTTTTATTCTCGATTATTTGCTACCAACGGCGCGAAGGAAATGAAACAATACAGAGTACATGTGACGAAGGATCTCTCTCTTTCTCTTCCTTTCTCTTTTCCCATCCCGGAGCTAAATGAATTTGAAACGAAAAAAAAATTAATAAAATATCCTTGGCTTCAATAATTAAACAGGGCCAGCCGGGCGTGAGCTTACTTAATATTCCTAGGGTGGTGCGAGGTCGATTAAAAACATGACCGGGGATATTTTGGCAAAGCCATAAATGAACTAGGGAAGGAGGCCTGGTTTTTAGCCAAGAAGCTGTCATCACCAGTCCCTTAACCACTTTCTCGGCCAAATATAAATATATATATATATATTTATGTGTGAGTATTATATAAATATATTATATTAAAATAAACTTTCTCTTATTTGCTCACGTTTTTCCGCGGATTTTATTTATCTGGCTCGACTTGACCGAGAGAAATCTTCGAAATACGGATGAATAAAATATATAATCACAGAGTTAACCTCGAATAATGAAAAAATAAAATACAAAATTAAAACCACCCATTCTTAAGAACTCCAAAGATATCCGAATTATTTTGTTTTATTGTATGTATATAATGTATTATTTCGGTATTCAGGATACTATAAAAACGTCCATAATAATTCTATACGAAGATTTTCAGTAAACAATATCACGAATTAAAACAATTCGATAATTTGGTTTCATTACCATAAAATTCGTACAAAAAGTGTATAATTATCTTTAAATGAAATCCAACTTTTACTAAAAAGCACAAAAAAAATAAAACATCATTTTTATTATAAATATTTTTCGAGTTTGAGAATACAAATATTTAATTATTTATTATTATTTACTACAGCTATATATACTAATGAAAAATAATGCTTAAAATATATAATTTATATAATTTTTATATATTTATTATGTATTATATATATTTCATATTATATAATTTTTATTATACACGTTAGATTTATATAAGTAATAATTGCTTTTCGATTACGATTTTAGTATGTACGAGTACGTGATTTGACATAAGAGGGTTCAAACGTCATGTGAATGTATTTGTCATTTACTTGTACACTAAATAATTTATACATAATACTTGGATTCCAAAAGTTGGATAAATTTTTACATTAATATTAATTAAGCTTTCTACTCAAACTTAATGCAGTTACCTAAAGAAGAAAGCTGTATTGTAGCAAGTTAGCTGTATATTTGTTTCTGAAACATTATTATTAACAGGTTCTAAAAATTCGGTATAACACACATGTTTAAAGTGTTACATGATTTTTTTTTATTATTTTACTAGAAATAATTTATCTATGTTATTCTAAATAATTAAAAATATAATTTATAATATCACTTTGTCACGTACGAGAATGCACTTCATTCTTTGTGGTGGTGACTTATTTTGAATCGAGTACAAAATAGCGTTTTGAAAATTATTTTCTTAATATTTATTTTTTTTTTAATGCATTCGTATAATATGGTAAATAATACGCAAACGGCCAATGCAATAAATCATAATGCGGGCGGATTCGTTAAAAATAAACTTTTAAAATATATCATTGCAAGACAAAGATCAGATGATTTATCTTATTTTCTAAATACGAAATTTTATTAAAAAATATATTCAAAGTAAAACACTTTCAAATACAATATGTATATTTTTCATTTCTGTAAAATAAATGATTACAACGGAAAATAAAACGTTTTTGATAATTATGAGTGTAGCGAATTATTGTGTTATGCAACGTTTAGTAAGTTATACTCAAAACCACTAAAAATATTATATAATTACATCAACATCAAAACAGTTTAAAATAAAGTGATATGTATTGGGTATATGACAAATTTAATGTTTCCGAAAAATAGAATATATATCATACACACATATTTAATTAAAATAAATAAAAACGTTTTCAAAGTTCTTTTGATTTAACAAAATGTAAAACGCAATATTCTCGTCGTATATAGTTACAACACGGGGCAGTATTATGTACTCAGATGTTGACCACAGAACGTTTTGGAAACCGTTGTGGTCTTTTTAAACCCGGATTAAGACCCTAAGGATTATGCCAAAAACCAAAGCAATCAATTAATTTGTCTTTTTCAAGCCGGTTCACGAGGTACAATTTGTCCGTCAGTTTCAAATTGCATCGCGCTGTATGTAATATAGTTCAACCGTGTATTCAATATAATATAAAATTACATAATCGTGTAAAGTGCAAAAAGCGGAAGAACGTCTATGCACGCGTATTTTGGTGGTGCGGGGATTTACACGCAGTCGAATATCTTCCAACGATTGTGAAATTATATTTAAATATAATAATACAAGTGTTACAATATTATTTTAAATGCAGCGTAATGGACGACTTACCGCTCTCTCGGACCCAGTAATTTATAGACTTCGGAAACGCTTCGACGTTGCATTCTAATGTGACTTCAGTGCCTTTCGGAGCACCGACCAACTGGCTGGGTGACGAGATCACTGGATGAACTACGAAAAAAAAAATAGTGCATATTATCAACTGTTTGTATGTCGTCATATTATTTCGTAGTTTTACATTTTTTTTATTCTTCTATTTAATTTAAAATATAACACTTGTAATATGTAGAAAATAAAACATACAACAAGCATATTGGTTCATGGAGAAATATAAAAAGACACAGAATACTATGATTCGGGATTAAAGATACAACATAGTGATGGATCCTGAAAGAGAAAGAAAAAACGAGAGGAGAGGTTACAAGCTGGAATCTACTATAACAACTTATAGACCTATTATATATCATGTCACCAATATTTTTTTCGGCCGTTACGAAATTTTACCTAGAAATATGGTAATGTATTGGTTTGGGGTTAATGGATATGTGATGAATTAATTTTGAGTGGATATTTTCATAATGTATTTTAATTAAATTTTCAATTTTTTCAGTTTGTAGATCTTTACGGAGAGTATGATTGGAAATTTACTATTATTAACAAACATGATTAGGTGGAGAAAAATGTATTGCAAGGCTTGAAGTGTTTTAAGATTTATTGGTCTAGCGCACTCCAAAATTTGGGCACTAGTAGTTTAAATTGGTTTTAAAATTATAGATAAAAAATTTTCTTTGTAACAAAATTTTGGATTTCAGTATAGGACAAAATTAGAACAATCCAATATTAAGTGCCTTTCTTTTTAAATTTTGTGTGAAGACCCTGGACAATTATTTTTCTTTTTGCAGCTATATGCAAGTTGTTTAGCTTAAACTAAGAATTGATTGGGAACTTTTTGAAATCTGAAATTAGCTTATATTCTTTTTGTTGAGGGTGAAAGGGACAAGTATGGATTTATCTACATTCATTTTTTTTTCCAGCTTATGAACTACCTTTCAAATAGATCAAGATATAGGCTAGGATAGTATCTTAGGTTTGAGTTATGTCTGACGTAAAAATGTTATAAATGTCAGCAGAGAGATCACTCCCTGAGGTTATATTAAGTTCAAATTGATAACAGGACGAGATCATATAACTGTGCTATAGCTGTTGACCCAACGTGCATAATGAGTGTAAGCGAAACGTTCAATTTTTATTTGGATACGAAAATAATTACCGTTTAGAAATATGTAAATCGTATGGAACCAAGAATAATAAAGTTTACTTAATTATTACGATAATTAATGCGACATTTCGTAAAAAGGGTTCGGTAGAACGAGATAGAAATTCGGAAACGGTGAATTAAAACCGAATGGTGTTAAATTATTATTAATTGGAGATAATTTAACGAGCGTATGACCGCCGTTGCCGCAAAAAGAAAACAACCGATTGCAATCGTCAGAAACATTAAGTGAAAATCATCAAGAAAAAATAAATTATTATTATTATCACGGTCGTGGTTAGGTGGCGAAAGCGCGGCGTTGTCTCGAAGTTTTGGTGAGCCCTACCAACATCACCACTAGCGTCTCCGGACCGATTAAGAGAGTACTGCAGCACAACCCAGTTTGATATATTTCCGCCATATAAGTTCATGTATGTACGATAAATATTATTCTGATGGAAATCTTAAGATTATCAAACATGCGAGTAGTTGCCATAGGACCAGTGATCATGTAACATTTAAAAGTAATCAATATTTTTATTTGAAAACAAGTCATATTTTTGATTTTATTTTAAGTTTTTTTTTTTTCGTTCAGATCAGGATTCTTAAAAGTAGTTCGTAACTACCATTTCAATTGTATATAAAAAAGTAATATGAAAAACCCAATACAGTAATGGGTTCTTAAACGCAAACAGAAGCGAGGACCTTATCCTTCCTTAAACTATATCAAGTCCCCTCAAATACAGGCTCGATTTCCGCTATTAACGTACTTTATATCGAGAAAGATATCTCAAATAACATCAACGTTGATAAAATTGTTGATGTATTGGCGCAATGTAAACGCAGAGCATTTTTTTAAATAAAAATACAATCATAAAGTATGCATTTTTTTTTTTTTTTTTATCAATATAATAGAGGACTTGAGGCCACCGTGGTTAATGAAAAAGTATAGTAAGAAGGGTCAGAATCCCAATTTAAGGACCTCTAGCGCCATCCGTCATCTCCGTCTACCACAGCAAAAAATGTTTTAATGATTTGCCAATCTAAAATGAAACAGTGCTAAATATTATTAATAATAAGTTTATTGATTTTATTTGTGTGAAGTGTGGTTTTAATATTTTTAATTTTTTCATTAATTAATTAATTTTTATTTTAATTAACAACATGTCAAATAATATAATGTATTCAAAAATCAAATATCAAACCAGATAATATGGTTTCAATAAATCTCAGTGACCCTACCTCCTCACTCAATAAAAAAAAAAAAAAAAATTGGGGCCATTTGTGTCTGTGAATATGTCCGTAAGAATCACGCGAGTAAAACTTAGCTTGGTTTCAATATAGTAAAATTAGTATACAACAGACCCGATTAAAATTTGACGAGGGACGAGACAAAATTGTATACGAGTACTCTGAATATATCTTTAGAGAAGCTCTAAATTAAATAAAACAAGGAACATCTTTAAATGGCATGCAATTAAACAACTTACGTTACGCCGATAATACTATAGTGTTAACGGGCACTGGTGACGATCTTCAAATACGTAGGGATAAAATAACAGAAATCAGCTGTAGATACGGACTTGACATTAATATACACAAGACTAAAATTATGATTATATTCAAGGAAAATTATTGGAGCTCACTCATATAAGTATCTATCAAACCCGTATAGAAAGAGTGCATCAATACCAATATATTGACACTGTCATTAGAGAGAAGTGGAACAACGCAGAAGGAATAAAATGTGGGTCTAATATGTTTGCCCGATACTTCATTTGCCCGACAATATATTTTAAATACTTTTACAGTACGTAATACTGATATACAATATTTTATTACTATTCCATTATTTTATTATAATTATTACTTATTAATATGCAATATTAATATACAATAATTTAAAAAAAAGACTAAATCAGACAAATATTTTATCATGGATAATATCGTTCTACGTAAAAAAGGTACTTTTATTGAAATGTTGAATAATTTTTGACACATATTTATTTAAAACTAGCTGACCCGACAAGCGTTGTTTTGTCATATAAATTATTTCTAGAGAATATTTTGCTAGAAAAAAATAACTAATTAAATATAGGCATGTAAGAATGTGGGTAAGGATAAGGATGTAAGGAAGATATATGGCGTGCTATGAATGGTAACGAAATATAAAAATGAAAAAACATCAAACATTTATTTTTTTATTAATTTATTTTTTTAATATTAATTTATTTTTTTCCATTAAAATAATATATATCGCTAATTATGACAATATAAGTAAAAAACAATATCTATCCTTTAATGCAACAGAGTGTACAATATTTTTTGTAATCCCATCTTTCGCAAACACAAACTGGATGGCTCGAGAGCACACCACGTATAATTATCCGTGTGAAAAATATGATGTGCTCAAATCTAAGCTACAGACATTGTTTGGCTTTGAAACTTATTGATAGTCATTGCAAATGCCAATCTAATTGGAAATTTAAAGCGTTTAAATTGTATTGGCACATCTGTGGGTATAATAGAGATTCGCGGTAATAATATATTTTCACCTCGGAATTTGCCATTTAAAATTATGGCTTCGATAACATTTTTCATTAATTTTTTAACAACTTATCGCGTGTCGTTGTACAACCGTGGTAGGTCAAATTATGAAGCAAAATAACCGAAGAACAAACCTTCAATTGTAAATTATGCGGTGGCATGCCTGGTAAGTCCAATGAGTTTAAAAACTCTGTTAGATAATTTACAGCTTCAGTAGCATAGCAAACTATATCTATAGATTTGTATGACACCATGTCTCCTGGTAATAAATGTTTATCTTGAGATTCAATTCGTTGACGTCCACATTTTTTACTACGAAAATTGCCCTTTCTGCCAGCCACTCATGATTTATGTATTGTCTGTGTACATTGGTCAATGAGAGCATCTTGCGAATAAATGATTGTGCAGAAATCGGTCGGTAATTTTATACATTCCGTTTTATCTGTAGTAACTTTCCCATCTCCAATATCTAACAATTGTTTTGAGAATCTTCTGCACGCAGCTTTTTTTGATTAAATCGCAAGTATCAAAATCGTTCGCTCTCTGTCTTTACATACATTTCGACCATGAATTGTTGACGAAGCTCATGATATCGTAGAATAATTTTGTCTTGATCTCGTTTAATCATCAACCGATATGCATAATAATTTTTCGAACTAACATTCTTATTTGTTTTGACACCTGTTGCGGGATCTTTTTTTGTTTAATATTTATGCAATAACCGTCATTTACTACCAAAAATAAAATTAATAGTTTTTAAATAGTTTTTTTAATAGTTTTTTAATAGTTTTTTAATAGTTTTATTTAATAATTCATTTTCAATTGTGCAGTTATCGACCGGGTCAAAAAGGGCTATTTTTAGGGTTTTTCCAGCAATAATTCTAATTTTTCTCGCCGTAAAAACCATCCTTGAACTTCAACGAACATTTGAAAAAAAGATTTGGCCAAATTGGTCCAGGCGTTGTTGAGTTATGCACTTACCAACACATTTTGCGATTCATTTTTATATTATAGAATAATTTGAGATGGTTGGACAAGAGTAGTGTCGGGAAAATGAATTGTCGGGCAAGTGTAGTGTCGCGCAAATGTAGTGTTGGCAGGGGCGTTATTTCAACTTTTGAAATGGTGGGGCAACTGATAAAATTTGCCGACTTAATAATATTTAAAAAATTATGGTTACCTATAAATTTAAAAATTTAATAATTACGAACGATAGACTATCAATAAAATAATTTTTGGAATAAAACATGTAAGGATTAGTAATGAATAATAGTTTCATAATGATAAACAACAAACATGAAACGTTTCATTTCACCCAATTAAATAATAACATTGAAGATAGTAAAACATTAATTTATCTACTTATCCT